ACCGAAAAGAAAACCCTTGAAGGGACTTATAATTCGTCCACCTAAGAAAATCTATTACATTAAAATATATTAAAACTATTAATTTACTTTAAAATGTAATCGTCGTGCCATCCCGGTGCTTTCCTCGTCCGCGGCTCACGTATCTTCTCACGGCCCAAATTCCTTTCCCCTTTGGTCTGCTTAGCCTTGGCTCGGCCCACCGGCCTGTCCCGCTCATTGGGGTTCTCCTTCCGAGACCCATGCAACCCATGCGTAACATAGAGCCATCAGAGTTATGTTTAATTTTATAAACCCACTTACAACAAATAGGAACACGATCTTTGGGAGCTAGAACAAGGTTCCATGTGTTCTGATTCATCAGGGTAGTGAACTCTTCATGTGTTCTGATTCATCAACGTTCCATGTGTTCTCACCAATAACTATTCCAAGAGGCCTCTTTATAGGTAACAAACTCAATTATAGGTTGTGTGGAGGTAGGGATAGAGGTTGCATAGAGTTTGGGTTTACCAATACCACTACGGGCACGAGCGGTCATGTGATGTCATGGGGGAGGTGGTGGTGGGGTAGGGATAGGTTTGCGTGATTATGTTGAAACGCCATATCCAAACTTAGAAAATGCATGCACCACGAGTAATATAATGATCTATGATTAATTATAGTACGATCGCATTATTTTGAGTCGTGAACATTAAAAGTTGATGATGATGTTTTATGCTGAACAACTTGCAGCGTATGCTATTATAATGCAATTGGTGGACAGTAGCGATGAGAAAGTTTTCTTCCTATATGGTTATGGAGGAACTACAAAAAAGTTTGTTTGGAAAACTCTATCTACATTTTAAATGCTGCATCAAGTTGTATTGCATCCTTATTATTGCCGAGAGGAAGAAAAGCATATTCATGTTTTGCTATCCCATTAAAACAAGATGAGTGTTCTACCTGCAACATCAAGCAAGGCAATTCATTGTCTAAATTATTAATTTGCACGAAACGTATCATTTTGGGTGAAGCACTAATGACCCATAAACATATCTTAAGCATTGGATAAAAGCTAGCTTGACATTATTCATTTGTTTAACTTTTTTAATGACCAACAACCATTTGGGGGAAAAATAGTTGTTTTGGGTAGTGATTTTTGTCAAATCTTACCTGTAATTCCCAAGGGAATCGAACAAGATATTGTTAATGCGACAATCAATTCATCTTACCTTTAGAAACATTCTATAATTTTGCGCTTGACAGAGAACATGAGATTGCAATCTATGGTGCAAGAGGACAACTATGATAGTTCAGTTGAATTTGCAGAATGAATTGCTAATATATTGGAGATGGGATTGCATGGGATGAAAACTATAGGTGCACAAAAATAGTTCTTCGAGATGATATTCTATTCAAATACTCTAATGATCCCATAGAGATAATTGTGCAATCAACATACCCATATTTTAACAACATAGCAAAAAAATCCAATGTACTTATAGCAGAGAACCATTTTAGCACCAATATTAGATGTTGTTGATGCAATTAATGATTACATGACATCAAAGAATGAGAATGAGGTGTCTAAAAGTTAAGCTTTGATAGCATTTGTAAGTCAGTTTCAAATGTCATTTTTTATCTAATTTACATTCACCTAAATTTTTAAATGCTATTCGAGCTTCAGGTGTTTCAAACCATGTGGTTATGTTAAAGGTTGATACTCTAATCATGCTGTTTAGAAATATCGATCCATCCATGGGTTTATGCAATGGTACGAGATTAATAGTGACAATATTGGGGAAAAATTTAATTCAAGTAAAAGTTATGGCAGAAAAACATGTTAGTCACGATGTTGTGATCCTTAGACTTTCTTTGACTCCTTCATATAAAAGGCAAAAAATTGCTGGCAGATACATTCAGTTTTGTTGTAAGAACTACCGAGTACCTCCAATTTTCAAAATATATGCCTAAGTACCTTAAATTATGACAAAACTTACCAAGAGGGGATTTTCTATCCTCCATCAAGCCCATTCTCGCCCATTCTCTCTGCTTATTTTCTCATCATCATCAACATCTTCTTCCTCATACTTCCTCTTCCTCCCTTTTCTTCTTCTTAATCTTCTTTTTCTTTTTCTATTATTATTATTATTATTATTATTATTATTATTATTATTATTATTACTCCCTCCGTCCTAAAATTAACTTCCCATTTGACTTTTCACGGTCTCCAATGCGACACTTTGACTATCAATATCTCAATTTTTATATAAATATATTTTATAAAAATTATATATTTCAAAACTATATTCCAAAATGAATCTATTGCTAATAAATTTATATGAAAATTCAATGTATTTTTTTCTTAATCTACCGTCAAAGTTTATAAAGTTTGACTGCAAAAGTCAAACTGAGAAGTTAATTTTAGGACGGAGGGAGTATTATTATTATTATTATTATTATTATTATTATTATTATTATTATTATTATTAGAGTTAATTTCAAACGTAGTACTCAATAACTATGTCTTTTCCCAAATTAGTCCTCAAATTGAACTAATTACCGAGACGTATTCGCTAATTGCAAATAATGCCCAGTTTAGTCCCCCAGACTTACGATCGTCAGAATAATGTCAAAACGATATTAAAACTTATACTAATTTTTCAAATTGATCATCTGTATATAATTATATTTTTTTCAAATTAGTCTATTTTGGATGTAAAAAATCATTTATTAAGAAAAACCGAAGTAGGATTCTTCCCTTTTAAATTATTTACAGTGTTTGAAAGAAGTCGGGAGACCATTTTTATGAGTTTTTATTTTGGAAATTGACTAATTTTGAAAAATATTCGATTATAAATGATCATTTTGGAAAATAAGTATACGTTTAATATCATTTTGATGCCATTTTGATGGCGTTTAGTCTAGGGGAACTAAACTGGGCATTATTTTCAATTAACGAGTACTATCTCGGTAATTAGTTCATCTTCGGGATTAATTTGAGAAAACACATAGTTATTGAATACCATATAAGTGACTTTGTATTATTATCATTATTAATATTATTATAATCATTTATTTTGAAATACTCCTTCTATCCTCTATAGATCTTCCTATTAGTCTTTTTTATTTGTCTTCCATAAATTAATTTTGAAGCACTCCCTCTATCCTCCATTATACAGCTACCCCCACTTACTTTATTTATTACATCTCACCTGCCTCAATACACTTCACTCATATTCATTAAGGATATTTTGGTAAACTTTAACATTTTTGAACTTCTCTTAAGAACCACAAAAAGTCAAAATGAGAAAATCTTAAGAGGACGTATAGAGTATTATTTTCTTATTCTATTATTATAATTATTTAAAAATTGATTAATAGTTTTACTACTCTAATTTTTTAAAAATGACACTAATTATAATTATTTATTTATTACAAAGTATTGTTTTGTTCTAGTTCTATTATTATTATTATCATTATTAAAAATTAATTAATACTTTTACTAGTTTTATTTTTTAGAGATATAACACTAATTATTATTATTATTATTATTATTATTATTATTATTATTATTATTTACGAAGTATTATTTTTCTTCTTCTTCTTTTCTTAAATATTACTCCCTCCGTCCCAGAGTATTTGTCCACTTTCATTTTTACACACCATCCAATGCACTTCTTTAATCCATTTTATCTTGTAATTTGTATATTAAAAAATTATAGAAATTATATATTAATAATCTATATGTTAAGACAAATCAAACAAGATCACACATAACTATATTTAGGCTTACACATTGAGAGAATTTGATGAGTCAAAGTGCTTAGATGAATAGTTCCAAAAGTCAAAAGTGGACAAAAACTGGGGGACGGAGGGAGTATTCATTATTATTAGTATTGTTAAAAAGTTACTCCATCCATCTAGAAATGTTCTTGCAATTTGACTTTTCACGATCTTCAATGTTTTACTTTAACTATTAATATCTATATTTATAAATACATATATTTATAAAAATTTGATATTTGAAAATTACATTTCAATAAGAATATATTGATAGTAAATTTCTATCATAGTACAATGTGTTTTTTCTACATATCGGAGTCAAAATTAATAAAATTTGACCAAGACAAGTTAATTAGGAAGAAATTTTTTGCCCAAAGTGAGTAATTAATAGTTTTACTACTCTAATTGTTTTTACAAAAATAAAACTAATTATTTTTATTTATTTATTACAAAGTATTATTTTCTTCTACTTTTATTATTATTATTATTATTATTATTATTATTATTATTATTATTATTGTTATTATTTATTATTATCATTATTATTATTATTCAAAAATTAATTGATAGTTTTACTACTCTATTTGGTTTAGAAATATAACACTAATTATTATTATTAGTATTATCTTCTTCTACTTCTATTATTTATTATTATCAAAAAATTAATTAATACTCCCTAGTTTTACTACTCAATTTTTAAAAAACAAAACTAAAAAATTTTAAATTTATGAAATATACATAAATAGATTACAAAAACTATTCTTTCATTAAAGGTGACAATATTTTTAGTTTTCTTACAGAAGTGGAGACTGCGAAAGATTAATTATGTATACAATTGTTTTGGTGGGAGCATAAGTGTTATTTTTCTTAAAAATTAAAATAGTAAACAACTAATTAATAAAAATTACAACAACATAAACAATAATAATGATAATAATAAAAAGAAGAAATAAGGATGAGGGGTGGGGGTCTGAAAGATCGGAAGTAGGAAGTAGGAAGAGGAGGAGCAGAACTAGGAGGATGAGGAGGAGCAAATAAGATAATGATCATGATGATGGTGATGATGAAGAAATTGACAGAGATATAGGTTTGAAGGAAGATGGATAGAAAATCTTTCCTTATAAGTTTTCTCATAATTTAAGGTACTTAAGAATATATTTTGAAAATTGGAGTGACCTGATATTTCTTTCCACAAAACTAGGGGTACCAGCAGCAATTTTTTTGAGAAAAGGATTCCTTTTAGGTTTCAAAGGAAGCAATTTTTCGTCATGATTTTTTATGCAATGACCATTATTAACAAAAGTCATGAGCAATCTTTATTGCATGTCGGCCTATTATCATTGTCAACTTTACGTTGTTGTCTCTCACGTGAGAAATCAAAAAGTACTTCAAATCTCAAGTAGTAACAAAGAAAACAATGTTTTGGACTTATCCTTTTCATGTTGTTTATAAAGAGATTTTTCAAAATTTATAATTATTTTTTTTTGATAAGTATAATGCACTTTAAAAAAGTAAATTTCATAATTGGTTTTTTATAACAAGGGGGTTTTCATATTTAGTTCTCTATTATCAAATATTACCTCCGTAATCCTTTTATGGGTGATTTTCTTTACAAATGATCCTTTTTTAATCTTCTCCCATGTTGGTGTTAATTTAAAGGCTAAAAATATAATAGTAATCACCATAAATAGGACTAAAACATAAAGAAAAGTACCAAAATAGGACTTTCAAGTTTTTTTTCCCCGAAATAGGACTTAGCACTGTAGTAATGTGACTTTGCACTATGGTAATGTGGTAGTGTACATGTGCACATTACTATACTTTTTTGGTAATGTATATGACCATGTTTGGTAATGTAAGTCCTATTTCGGAAATAAAAACATGAAAGTCCTATTTTGGTATATTTTTAATGTTTTAGTCCTAATTTGGTCTTTCTCCCAAAATATAATTTGGTGTCAATCCTATGTCTAGTGACGTATTCTGATATTGGTTAGGCATATAACATAATAAAAATAATGTTTGTGATTATGGGCTAGGATTTCGAGAGATCACATTTGTGGACCATGATATTAGTAGAAAGCGCCTGTAATTGACAAACGATGCATCAGGAACGATGTTTGGAATTGTGTATGACAAGAAGGATATATTATCATTGTGAAATTACACTTTTAGCCATCAAATTAACACCGACATAATAGAAGGTCAAAAAAACTATTTGTAGAAAGATACCTACAAAAGAAGGACCACCGGGATAATATTTAATAACAGAAAAATAAATAGGGAAGTCCACATGTTATAAAGGACCAATTATGAAATTTACTCACATGATCAAAAATTATGTATCCAAACAGATAGCACTTTGGTGTGAAATGTATTAAGGGTCCGTTTGGTATACAGAATTGACAGAATTGAATTGAATTGGAATTGAAATTCCATTAGATTCAATTCCATAGAATTGAATTCTACCAATTTCAATTCATCTTTTGCACTATCAATTCCAAATCCACACAATTTTTGTACTACCAAACACCAGAATTGGAATTGAAGTCCCCAATTTCAATTCCATAATTTGAATTCCGTGTACCAAACGGGGCCTAAAGTTCATTCTGATAAATTTATTCATTCTATATTCCCTTCGTCCAACTAAAAATTCAAATTCACTATTTACAAGATCAAACTTTATTCACTTTATTGACCTATTTTCATGTCATGTTTGATAAAATAATATGGTAATGTCAGCTCTAGTTTTTAAATATGTAATTTTTATTTTTTAATTCCACAAAATTTTTTATATAAAATGATTTGAAATTAACTTCAGTATAACATCGTAACGCGCAAGGAGAAATTTATTTATAGACGGATGGAGTATTATTTATCTCATACATAAATTGTAAAGTGTTGTTTTGTAGACAATTTCTATGGTGGACTTAAGATCCATCATTGACCTACATATGAACATAATAATTACTTTTTACTACTTAAATAATTGTTTATTTTTAAATAAAAATAATAATTTTTTTATGTGAGAAGGTCTACAAAAATAATATGCTCCCAAGGTGTACCAAAGAAGAACTCGTTGTATTATTGCATCTCATAGATAAAATCTACTAAGAAATAGAGTTGAGTTTTAAAGAGAGCTCGCAAATTGGTCGGTCGGGTTTGAGTTCGAGTTATTTTGAGTTTGGGTCAATTCGGGTTCGGGTTGAGAACTGTATGTTCATGACCCAGTGTCATCGAGTTCGGGTTGACACAACGGGTTATGGCTTTGGTTTTTAAATTTTTTAAATTCACATTAAGACCTATATTTTATATTAAATAAATTTAAAATATAAAAAATGTATTAAATATATTAGATTATTTTATTTTAAATTCTGAATTAATTTTTAGATATATAAATCAATATAACGAATTTTAAAAATGCTGAAGTTTTTGAAAAAAAATAAGATAATAGTGTAATATTATTAAAATTTTGTCTGAAAAATATAAATTTATACACTAAAATCGAGTAACAAAAGATATGATTTTGAAAAACTCTTACTTTAGGGGGTCGATCAGGTAAGGTTCGGGTTTGGTCGGGTTTGACCCATTTTTAGCGAATTATTTCAGATTTGGTTAACTTTGGGTTCGGTCATCAAACCCGTTCGAAACCCAATATCTTAGGGTCAGGTTTCGGGTAAAAATAGATCGGATCATTTTTTGTTCGGATCTAATTTTAGAAGTTGGAGCAATATATAGGGCCCGTTTGGGAATAGCCTTAGGGATTAGCGTTAGCGTTTTGGATAAAATTTTAACGGTGCAAATTACTTTAAAAACGCTAACGCTGGCCGTGGATAGCCGTTTCAAAACGGTAACTCTAATCTCTAACGTTATTCCCAAACAGGCCCATATACCACGTGTACCATATACAACGTGTAGCCCAGAGATAGATTTTAACCCTAAACCCCGGGTTCGACTCTTATTGTTTATTTTTCAGAAACCTATTTTCTAAAGCTCTACCACTAAACAATACAAGAAGATGAGACGGGGGAAAGCCAAGGGTAACGAACAAGCTGAGCAGCGGCACCAGTCTGAAGCCGTGCTGCTTCTGCCGGAGACTCGGGAGGTGGAAGAACCCGGTGAGACTCCTCCTGGATTTGAGGTATCGTTTTTTGATTATTCAGTTGAAAATCACTTTAGAGCTATTGATACTGCCCGGAAACTATGCGGGGAGCCGGATATTGATGATTCTATTGATCAAGAGGAGCTTCAACGATTTGGTTCTTCCATCACATTCCTTTCGTAAGTACAAAATGGCATCTTTTTACTGTTTTAGTTAATTCAAGCTTTGCAACCTGATTTGCCAAAGTATTTTCATAGCAATGGGCCTTTGCCTAATAGTTGTCTTTGATGTTATAATTAAGGGAATGGAGATATTTAAAATACAAATCAAGAAAAATAAGGTTTGCTTCTGAAAGTGAGAATGGTAATGGGAAAGATGTCAAATGTGAAATTATCTTGCCTCAATTTTCTGCCGCAACTGTTCCCAAGGTTTGTATAAGAATTTTCTACCTTGTTCGTAGCAGATAATTTCACACATCAGGCATTAACAATCTAGTTTTGATGATATGATGCAGGGGACCTCTCAGGAGAAAGTATCTTCTCCACAATCCTGGTATATGGGGACTTAAGTTTTCAGTTAACTTTTTGTTCACAATTTCTTGACGTTAAGGCTAGAGAATCATGAAAAGTAATCTTTGAAGTTGTTGGTTCACAACATTTGAACATTAGCTTTTTTTTTTTTGTTGCAGCAATGACCTTGTACTCTATGTTGGAGGTTCTGTTTGGGGCATAGACTGGTGTCCCAGAGCATGTAATGAATCTGAGTTTCTCTTCCAAAGTGAGGTACGTAGACAGTTTTTATTTATTTTTATATAGTTACCTTTTCTTGCCACTCATGGTGAAAAGAAATACAATTAGAGTGCTCCAATTTCATCTAGTTTCCCATGCATTTTGCTTCTTTTTGACAAAATACACTGATAATCCTATCTTCAATTATTTGCATAGTTTGTGGCCATTGCTGCTCATCCGCCTCAATCTTCATATCATAAGATTGGTGCCCCTCTTACTGGCAGGGGTTTCATTCAGATATGGTGTTTGTTGAATCACAGAGTAAAAGATGAGTCGTCCCAAGATGATAAAAAGTTACGAAAAAAATCAAGTAAAGGTGAAATAGTTAAGATCAAATCACCTGATCCAAAAAAACCCAGGGGAAGACCCAGGAAGAAACCTTTAAATGTGTCATCAGATGATAAACATGGTGATGAAAATGTGCAACAACCACTTGCAATTGAATATCCTGAAGAATCATCCCCACTTCCCACCACAGGCGACATGGCTTCTGAAAACATTAACAAATCACAAGAAGACTCTAGAAGGAAGCAGGAGGTAACTGAACAGCTACCCCTGACTGCTAAAACTTCTTCAAAACGCAGAAAGTTGAATAACAATTCTAGAACAAGCAGCCAGACTTGTGGTTCTGCTTTACCCTTTTTATCATGGGATACAAATGAAAAGTCTTCTTCCATTATTGGTTGTCAAACCTCGCAATGTTGTGCTCTCATGTCTATTGAATCAAGTGGTAATGATACAGCTCTCATGCAAACGATTCCCAATGGTCTTGCTTTACCAAGAATGGTACTGTGTTTGGCTCACAATGGAAAAGTAGCATGGGACATTAAGTGGCGATCATGCCATCTTTCTTGCTCCGAGTCTAGACTGAGAATGGGTTATCTTGCTGTTTTGCTGGGAAGTGGAGCTCTAGAAGTGTAAGATCTTGCCTGGCTATTATGTATTATACTATTTGCTTCTAGAAGTGTCACTGTATTATGTTTTTCCCTGATCAGAGTTATTATAGTACTTTGTATTACTTGATATTACTATGTCTTATGATATAGGTGGGAGGTCCCTTTTCCTCGTATTATAAAACGGCTTTATTCATCAAACATGGAGGGTACCGATCCTCGATTTTTGAAGTTGGAACCAGTGTTTAGATGTTCTATGCTGAAGTGTGGTGATAGGCAAAGGTACTTCCTACATACTCCGTATTATCTTTTGCGGAATCATTCCCCAACTTTTCTTAAAGTATTGTTTAATGATATCTTGATACATCATCTTTCCCATCAAGCTACTGATACATGTTCCATGTGTTTTAACTTCGTTAATAATTCAAAGTTTTCCTTCTTTTCTGTTATCACTTTCCACAGCATTCCTTTAACAGTGGAGTGGTCAATGTCATCCTCACGTGATATGATTCTAGCTGGATGTCATGATGGAGTGGTAATGGTTATGATCACTCATTATCTCTCTATTTTTTCATTCTCAAGCTTCATGCCACTCAAAATAAGAAAAATATGGTGGTCAAAACCACCTTCCTTTCAAAGTTAAAGTGATGTTGGGATTTTAAAATTTGCTTCCTCCCAGGCAGCTTTCTCATTTTCTCAATTTGCTTCCTCCCCGTTAGTCAAAATTCTAAGAACCAGAGGTCTGTTTACTAACATGTGAAGGTTGTTGTCTTCCAGAGATAAGTCAGATAACATGTTCACTTCTTTCTTTCAAATGTGGAGAATTACTTTTAAAACATAAAATGCGTTCACCAATTTATAAAGTTTAGAAAAAATATAATTGTTTTCCAATTCTTATGTGGAGTACAATTTTGTAACAGAACAAAAAAAAGATATATTCTTTTTGAGATTTCCACAATGAAAAAGAATTTTCCAATGTTAGTACCAAACCAAACATGGTGATTGTACCAAAAAACCAATCTAGATGGTTGATGACAACTACGGCGACTCATGTACGCGACTCATGTACGCCACTAACAGCAACACTTATGATGACCTCCCACAGCCACTGGTGATGACCCCATTAACACTCGCAAAGTCTCTTCTAATGGCCTCTATCTCCCTAACAGAATAACTACAGGTAGCAAACATCGATACCCACCGAAATCGATACCACTACCGACTATTTTCACTGCTATGAACAACCAGTTTTTACCTTTGTCCCATCCTGCAACTGCTGACACCACTAGTAAACATTACAACTGCTATTTATGTCTCTTTCATTGTCATCAAGCACACGCCAGCAACCATTGCCTTTGATGCTGCCATCAGCTACCATCGCTATCACTGTTCACCACCTGCTCTGACTTGATCCCTACCTTCCTACTATAGTCCTCAACCACCACCACCACTTGTGGTCCACATTTACCATTGTGGACCGTCACCATCGATCACCATTGCAACTGGTTTGTAATATTGGATTTATTTGCTATACATATTTTTCAATTTACCACCTTAGAATACTGACACCATAGAATGACTGGAGAAGAAACAGTGAAAACTGAAAACTTAATTAAACGGAACCTTAATTTTTATATTTTTTCTTTTTCCACCAACTTTTAACAATCAAGTCTAGAATTCATAAGAGCAAATCCTTTGTTGGCAAACAATAATTGAATAACATCGTCTGTTTGCTTTCAGGTTGCTTTGTGGGTGTTTTCTACTACAAATTCTTCTAAAGGTACTACGATTACAATTTCCGTCCTTCACTTTTGAGTCAACTCTTCTCTTTTGGCAGTTGAAATTGTTTTCAAACTCTGAGAAAAATCTGAGTTGTAAAAATGAGTGATATCTCTAACTCATGCTCCCTTTCATAAAAATAATATATTTTTCCTTTTGACTCCATCCTTTTGTGGAGACACAAGGCCTTTGCTTTGCTTCAGTGCAGATACAGTGGCCATAAGGTCACTTGCTTGGGCACCATTTGAAAGGTTAGTTTACTATGTACTAATGTACGTAGTATTTGATACTGTACAAATGCAAGTTTGAGGAGGGAGCACATATGAGTAACATACATTATCTCCTTTTTTATTGTTTGATTACTTGTTTATCTTATCAAAGCAATTATTTGAAATGATGCTAAATCTGCAGTGGTACCGAGAGTGATAATGTGGTCATCACTGCTAGTCATAAGGGCTTAAAGTTTTGGGACCTACGGTAACCATATTTATACTCTTTCCGTACACTTTCTAGCTTTGGATGTCCGAAAATGAACTTTACACTTTTCCAATTTCCTTTTAGGAAAAATAAATATGTGAACGACTTAATCTCTCTATTTTTCTAAATAAATTTCAACCACACTTTTTACTTTTCATCAAGCCCCTTTTCACTTTTCAATGTTTTTCTTAAACTTCATAAGTTCAAAGTGTTGAGGGAGTATAGTTTTACATGTGTTCTGTGCTTTAGTTGTATTAACAGTCCAGTTTTCTTTTGGTCTGGAAATGATATTTGTGTTTTCAAGTCGAATATGACTCATCACAGTTCTAACTGAAGCTTCTTTCCATCATAATTTGTAAAGTAACCAAAAAATTTCAGATGCACAAAAATAGAAAAGTGGACAACTAAATCCGGACTGAAGGAATATAATTTCTTCTCAGTGCATTTCCTTTGCTGATAAAATGTTCGTCTTTTTTAGTGACCCATTCCATCATTTGCGAGAATTCAATCCTGGACAAGGGGTGGCTATATATAGCCTGGATTGGCTGCCATATCCAAGGTCTGTGGTTGCTTCATCTAGTTGGATTTGACCTATTACGCTGTAGTACTATCTTTTGAATCTAGGATCTCTCTTTGAAAGTGACTTTCAATGGTGAAGGTGCATTCTTGTATCGTGCGATGACGGATCCATACGGATCCAGAGTTTGGTAAAGGCTTCCAATGACTTCCCTGTCACTGGAAAGCCGATCCCCATATCCAAACAACAAGGATTTCACACCTATGAGCTGTCATCCTTTGCAATATGGAGTCTGCAAACTTCACGGCTTACAGGTTGCTTCTTACCCAAGATGAATCACTATTTTATCAAAGTTTAAGCTACTGTCTTATTTGTTGTCTCCTAATTCCTTGTCATTGATTCTGATAAGTCGATACAATGATAGATATTGGCGTGCCACTCATTTTCGGAGTAATTGATTTGGAGTATCAATACAAGTCTGCAAACTTCATGACTTCAAAGAGTTATCCTTAAAATGATTTCACCCCATTGAAATGAGTGGCACACCGATACAATATGGTCTGACAGAGAATGTGGATAGACGATTTGATTTCTATGATTCTATTTGATCTTTAGGTGTGGCCGCATATTGCAGTGTTGATGGTACCACTGCCTATTTCCAGGTTTATTGCTCATATTCATATTATTTATATTAAGATTGTTATACTTCTCCCTCATTTTTATATATCTCGTAACCTTTAAACATTATCAAACACACCCAAAAGTACAAATTATCCAATTCTCGTAAGGGTTGTGGATAAACCGTCGATGCCCCTTTTTTTCTTTTTGTTTTGTTTTATCTACCCCCAATACACGGATATTTAGGAATAGGAACTTTTTTTTAACCTTTGGGCATGTTTTTGATATTGTGCATTTCATAGAAACGCACATCATAAAAAACACACCCAAGTGTGCCAAAATAAGCGTAGAAAGTTTGTTTTACCTCCTTAATCATTTAAGCACATTTCAAAATTGGAACCCTTTTTGGGTACTTTTGGCCGTGTTTTGATAATGTGCATTTTTCGATGCCTTTTTTTCTTTCCTCAATTTTTATGCACATCAAGGAATAGAAACCCTTTTTTGGGTACTTTTTGGGCGTGTATTTGATAATGTGCATTTTAGAAAGAACCCTACCTAAATTGTTTTCTTGATAAGCAGTTAACTAAACAAGTCGAAACTGATGCCATGAGAAATCGCGCTCCCCATTTTATTTGTGGATCGTTTGCCGAGGAAGAAGAATCTGTCCTCACAGTAATCACACCTGTGCCGAATCGGATGAAGACAACTAATGTGTCGAGGGCTACACACACTTCTTCATCCGGTAACTCTATCAACACTTGTTGCACTCACATTCTTCATTACACATTTTAAGAGTATTGCAATTATCTCTGCCTTCCAGTTGTGTACACTGGTGATGAACCTGATCCTCAGCCAGTGGCGGCCCTGACAAACAGTCAGGCACCCTTCAGTGATCAAGGAGATGGAAGCAAGCTTCCTCCCAAGAGTGTTTCAATTCAGAGGGTGAGATGGAATATGAACAAAGGCAGTGAAAAGTGGTTATGCTATGGAGGAGCAGCTGGAATCGTTGGCTGCCAGTGGATTGACACACCTTACTGACTTCAATTTGCACCATGCTGTTAACCTATATATATCACTCATCTTTGGCAATGTACATTGCACGTTGTTGTATATAAGTTTAGTGCTCCATGAGTGTATTGTTTCAGATTTTTCAATCTTAGAAAGCTGTATCAGAAAACTACATGTTTGATAATGGATGATGTGTATATGTAGTCTTCAGACTGTAGAAGATGGAGGGTATTTATACCCTAATGTTAAATATAATTGTTTATATTTAATATTTATACTTTGTATTTAGATAAATACTCGAACCAATCGTGCTTATCTCATAGAGTCCCCGTTGTACTTAGACTTAGGGGTGGGCAAACGGGTCCAGGAACCGTGAGTCGGAACCGAACCGACAGGTTCGGTCCGGGTTAGGGGCGGGTCCTTTTTTTAAAAAATTATAACGGTTCGGGTCGGTTCGGTTCTTATAGGTTTTTAGACCGGTCCGGTTCTCATTTTTAAAATTCTTCAGGACTCGGACCGGCCCGTTAGTTAATACTTCGTATTATTATATATTATCCGTATCACTCATTTACTTGGGCCAAAGCCCTACCCAATCTCCCAACTCCCAATCCTTTCGGTCTTTCCCAGAAGCCAGAACTTCAGAACCCTTTGCAGTAGCTAATTTGTGAATCGGAGCACAGGCAGAGAGACGGACGAGCACAGACGATGAGACGGAGAGACGGAGCTTCCGAGCATAGATGATGAGATGGAGCTTCTGAAGCGCTGCGTCGACCGAGCACAGAGATCGCAGAGAAGCGCTATGCGATAATCCCCATGTTTCTTCAGCTGTCCGGACACCACTGGTCACCTTAAATCGCCCTTTCCGGTGAATCTTGTCCCGTGGTAGCTCTTCACATCTCATCTCTTAATTGAAATATTCACCTCTTCATTTTCAATTTTTAATTTTACACAACCAGCTGTATTTATCATCATCACCAATTTCACCACCACTTCTCCAATGAGTGCCATTTGCAATTAGTCTTGTTTTTTACATTAGTGCTATTGACAATTACTACTTCTTCAAATATGTTTGTAGATATGTTTGCAGAGAACTCCTTACCATATAGTGCCATTGAATATGAAGCTAATGAATCAGAGCTTGAATTTTATGAAGAGTGTGAATTGGGTAATACTTTAATTTCTTTGCTTAAAGTATATAGAAAGTTACTCTCTTTGTATAGTCTTGAAAGTAATATGTATGTTTTTTTTTCATGTTTTTCTTTGGCACAGAGCACAAGAAGGACAAAGAATCAACATCGAATTCAAGTGCTCATAAGCTTCAATCTTCGGAAATAACTAAAAAGCATAAAGGACGTGCGGTATTATTTTTAAATTCACTAACAATAGTTTATATACTTTTAGTCTTTTATACATTATTAGAGACTAATTTAATCATATAATTATATTTTCTATGCAGAGTAAAGACGAGATAATCAATACCTAATTGCATGTGAAGGATGTAGGTTAATATTAAACTTCTTTAACCATTTGTGCATGTTTGTGTGTGGAATATGTTTGATCTTAAAATTTTGTTTTTGCAGGATTTTTGGTTTTTTTGGAAGCCATCTCCCTACTGCCTAATTGTTCTTTTTGGAACCATATGGCATTTGCCAAAATGTGATTGTACTCTTTCCTTTTTTTGTTGGATGATCATGCCATCATGGGGGTTTGCTGTACTCAGTATCTCTTTACGATATAAATATTGAAATGATTTATTGAAATAAATCACGATTCACGAGAATAAGTAATATAAATTAAATGTGAGAACCTTTTATGTTAAAAGGCAATAAAATCAATTTTGACTATGTCTAAGTCAAACACCCAAAAATATGATGTCGGAAAAAGTATTACCAATAATTTTGAAAAGTATATCCTTGAATAGAATTCGACTGCCTGATCGCAACGATGCTAACGGAATTCAATTCGGAGAAAGTTGGATAAAAAATTGTATCCCGACTGAGACCAAATTAGTCCCAATCAAGAAACAGCGCGTCCTCCTCCACTACGCCGATCGTAAATCACAATTGACTCAGCAAGCTAAGGATTGGCTTCATCCTTAGGCTTTTGCTATATAAAAAGAAACTGCTCCTTCATTTCTTCACCAATCCTCTCCATTCTTCCTTCTATTCTATTCTTTGTTGAGAGAAGAGTGTTGTGGTGCTGTCAATTTGATGTGAAGTAGCCGGAGCTAGCCATAATTTCCGCTGGAAGTTTTGCCGAAAAATTTCCAAAACCTCTGTTTAAGCCCGAGGTAAGCCTGTAACGCCCCGAAACCCAGCCCATCAGAATTAATTAATTAAAATAGTTAATTAATTACTGAGACGGACCCGGTGAAAATTATAAAATATTCTTTTTTTGACAATAAGGTTTATACCGTTGTGTAGGATTCGACGGATCGAATCCAACGGTGGAATCGGATTTGGATTTGGACCTCGTGAGCCCGGGAAGCGTGTTTGGGCCAAGTACATTAAGTTAATACAAAGCCCGAAACCCCCCTAAAAAAATATAAATATACTCCCTACACGCTTAAACCCTTACGCCTCCCATAATATTTACGTAACCCTTCTCCCTCTCTCTCGTGTCTCTCTCGTCGAACGGAACAGAGCAGGAGGAACGAATGCAGCAACAGTGAAGAACAAGGAAGAAGAAGAGAAGATGAAAAGAAGGAAGAGGAATTCGTCGTTCGATTCTTCGTCGCTAACACTATCTCGTAATCCTTAATCGTCAAATTCGAGGTGATTACGTGGTCATCTAACGTATGGTTATAATCGTAGGTTTGAATCTTACGTTCGTATAGAATCGTTACGGTTGACCTATTTGGACTTTACGTGGAATATGTTCGTCTATGTTGTTTACGGGTTGAAAAGCATGAGTAAGTTTAGAATTGTTAAAGGGGAAGTTAAATGATGTTTGGGTATTGATTTAGAACCTGTTAATACTTGAAATTTACGAATGCAATGTTGTTTTGGTTGGACGAACTAAAACTGATGCAGGTATGGCTTCTGCCGCGACAGACGGTAGTCAGGTACCGTTGACACGGTACCCGCCTACCGTCATCCCCTCCGTTTTCACCTCGCGCTGTCGGTACCTGTCACCAAACGGTACCTAGGTATCGGATGGACGGTAGGCCCTACCGCCGGGTCGGTAGAGGCTACCGTGACAGGCCTACCGCTTGAGTATCACATCTGACACGGTCGGTACCCACGTACCGTGGGACGGTATCCTGGTACCGTGGGGTCGGTAACCCCTACTGCTAAGGGTAGCGTGAGGTACCTGAACCGGTCTTAAATCTCTGTTCGCGTCGAGAATTGATTCCGAGACTTTGTGTGTTGTATTACGGTAAACATGGGTGTCAATATCCAGTGTTAGGCCGCTGTTTGATCAAGTTTTACATGTTGATTGACTCTTAGTTGATGTATGAATATGTATATCATGATTTGTTAATAAATAGGGACGAAATATCTAGAATAAACTCTATGGGCTAACCCGAATGGATTAGTGGCAAGTTATGCCATAAATTAGTAAGTTAGAGTCATGTGGTACCTGCTAGGTCCAATGGCTGTTCGGGTAAAAACGTGTACACAGGGATCTAAGAACTGTCGTTTTGAAGGGGACAGGGATCTTACCCACCCAACGAGGAACTCCCGAGTTGGTTTGAGCTTGACCTTCGTTCCGAAGGGGAAGGTCATGACTCCCATAGGCAAGTCGAATACAGTTAAGTTTTAACCTAGCATAGGTTAAGATTCATGTACGGAAAGAAAATAAGTAAACAAAGAGGAAAGAATCTGTTGTTATATCCTTAATATTGTATCTCTTGAATGATGATATTACTGTTTACGCATGTTATATCCTGTATGAGGTTATGATTATGATGAGCATGTTGCGTGCATGATATCGTATGATGATATGGGCTAGTGGGATCATCTATGGGTATAGCTGTATGTTAAATATTTCTCACTTAGCTTCAATGCTTAGCGTGTAGCGTTTGTTCCTTTGCTGCACATAGGTAATCCAAGGAATGATGAACTTGGAGCCAATCCGGAGTGCGATGAGGAGGCTGAGATGTGCGTGGCATTGTTCGAGGACTTTGAATTATTATTTATCATTTGAATAACTTATTACTATTTCGGGCATGATTCCCAAGCTGTGTTTTAAATTATGAATTAAACTTCCGCAACTATTTTGATTATTACCCTGATGAATGTTAAACTATGTTTTGAAATATTTATTTGATTTGCGTTTCTAGTTATATAATCTCATATTCATAAGTTTATATTGTATTTTTGAGAGAGTATATTTTATTCTACACCGGCTAAGTCTTGTTCTTCATTTTTGTATTCAAGCCGTTATGTAGAACCATTTCTTGTGTTCTTTAAACACACTTTCTTACGGTCAAGACTAGCCGCTAAATTCTCACGTTGTAACGGTCGAGGATAACCGTATAAATCTTTGGTAGAAGGTTCAAGGATAGCCTTGTAAATCCTTGGGGGGAACGGTTGAAGATAGCCGTGAAATCTTCATTGTAAACGGTTCGAGATAGCCGTTGTAAAATATCGGAGTAAATCCTATTGGCAAGAGTTGTTTGCCAAACTAGCGCAGAGCTTTGACGGAGTTCAAGAGACCGGGACTTAGTGGATTCAGAAATCCTTGAGGAGGAGCCTCGAGGTACTGGAGTAGGGGTTTCCCGAACCAGTATAAAATCAGTGTGTCTTTTACTTAACGCTTTTATTTCTGCGTTTTATTTATTGCTTCCGCATTTGTCAACACCGTTTTTATCAAACTCCGAAAAGTTTTTAAACTGCTTATTCACCCCCCCTGTAACACCCTAATCCGTCTAGGTCTGCAGCCCCTTTCGGACTAAAGTATTAACTTGGTAATCGTAAAATTTAAAACTTTTCAAACACTTTTATTTATCATAATAATGTTTTTCATGTCATAAACAGTACAGAGTTTTCAATATTGCGGAAGCTTAACAAATCATAACCACAAACATAATTTATTTATATTCTTTAATTCAAAACCATCACATCCATTCTGACTATCTCGCCTCCGTCTGCCTCCAAGATCACGTCATATCATTCTATTGACCTGCGTGTAGCATATAAAACACACTACACGCTCAGCGGTAAAGCTGAGTAAGCATATCTAATGCGTCGAACATTCACATAAATTGAATCTCAATTCATAATCAACCATTTGATATCATGCACATAATGTTCAGTTCAGATATTCAATAATCAATATTCAATTTTCAACATTCATTATTCAATCATCCAACATGTATATTCATCGTTTGTCATTCAACAGTATCCTTAAACTATTCTTAGTCTAAGGCCAATCACTTTAATATTTGTCAACCCTTAAATGAATTCTAGTTTAACTAATTAAACTATATTCCAGTATACAGAGTACTTCTAATAATCCTTAAGCTAGGCCTAGTTTAAGATAAAAGTGTTTTGGAAATCTTAAACTTACCTTCACTTAAGACCAACCAAAAACCGACAGCGTAGTGTTCACTGTTGGGTGGGTGGTACCCCCAAACGAGTAGGTACTCAAGTTTGGTTCTTTGATCCCGTACGTACGTTTTAACCCTAGCCACCGGGCATCATACCCACAAGGCCTAACTTATATAGGTATATCTTAGAGTTCTTCTAGATACCTTTCAAATCAACATTAATATGGGTATATCTTAGAGGTCTTCTAGATACCCTCACAATACATATTATTTTCACAAGCATCAATATATTCATTATGATTTAATCATTCATAATTTCCATTTTTAATCAGAACAATTATCAAGATTTAATAATCATCAACCAATAATTATTACCATAATCATCAATCAACATAATATTCAACAACAATTAGCGGCCTAGCTTCGAGTGTTAACACCCGAACTTACCGTCATGCATCACATAACATTTTTATTTGTTAAAAACATCATTTTTATTGTGGTAAATCATTTTTATAATAATCATAATCAATTGGTATCAAAAATAGGATTTTATAACTCAAAAATAGCATTTTTGTAGTTCACTGTGTTTGGAACGGTCGACCGTTGTTGCCTCCGTTGTACTGAAGCCACTGGTCCAGTAACGGTCGACCGTGGTGAGGGTACGGTCGACCGTTGCTGCCTTACAGCAACAGTACTTCGTCTTCAACCTCGGGTCCAATTTTCGAAATATCATTTTAAGTCACCAAACTTCAATTAAAGTATATAGAAATGTTCCCCAATGTCAATAGATCATTTTAATACCATTAATTCGAAGTTTAACAACAATTTCAAGGTTATGATTCTTGGTTCTTCAAACATGTCAAACACAAAACTCAACCAAATGACCATTTATGAACGTAGAAACGACCTATATGAACATTCTAGTCATTAGATATATCTACGGGCTTACCTCGAAGCTTAACGGAGGTTTTG